CCAACAGCCCCAAGGGACAGAGTAGTGACCAGAGTGGGCTGGGGAGAGAAGGCTTCCTGGGGGAGGGAGTGTTGTAACTCAGTTTTAAAGGAACAGTCAGTGAGAGTCAGGGAGGGAATGCGATATGCAAAGCTCAGGGGAAGGGGAGCAGGTCATATGCTGGTAAGTGCAAAGGAATTTCCTGGGTGGATAGGAGTCTGCACTAGGGCTTACTGAGAACAAAGTTGGGAAGAAATAAAGGGTTGGTTCCGGGGGCGGGGGGACCATCTCTCCAAGCAAATTAAAATCTAGAAGCCATAAGGATGATTGATTGAGCCCAGGAATTCAAGGCTGCAGTGAGCTATGATTGTGCCACTGCCCTCCAGCCTGGGTGACAGAGTGAGACTCCGTCTCAAAAAACAAACAAGTAAATCCCAAAGCCATAACTGAAGAAACCTGAGGTTTGATTACATCAAAAATTAAAATCTTTGTATATCAAAACACCACAAAAAAGTCAGAGGACAGTGATCAGCTGAGAGGAAATATTTGCAACAAACGATCAAGTGTCACTATCTAGTCTATATAAAGAGTTCCTAGAAATCAATAAGAACAAAATCCAAGAAAGCCCAATAGAAAAGTTGACAGCAGATATCAATCAACAAGCCACTGAAGATAAAATGCAAATGCCCTACAGGAAAAGATGTTGAACCTCACAAGTCATTAGGGAAATGCAAAATAAAACGATGAAATACTTTTCATCCATCAGATTGGCAAGCACTGAAAAGACTGCTCATACCCAGGCTTGGCAGGTGTCAAGAGAAAGGCATTCGCACACTGTGTGGGCATCTGCTGTCAGCTCGGGTAGAGAGGGTGACAGCTGACAGTAGAGTGGGTGACAGCTGACAGGAGGGGAGTTGGAGAGGCGGCTTCCATGTCCAGACAGGATGAGAACCCCAGGGCGGCAGCCCATCCCCTCCGTGTGAATCAGAGCCTTCTCCTCTGCTTCATTGTGAGGCAAGAGAGGAAGCAGGGAATCCTGTCAGAAGGGACCTGCCCTCTTAGACAAAAAGGGCATGAATGAAAGAAAAACAAAGGATAAAAAAAGAAGGAAGCTGCCCTTTGCTGGTTTGTAGCAGGTGCCAGGGAGGCCCCCCCTGCCAGAGAGCCCCACAGGGGCTTTTGCTGCAGAAGTGGCCAGAAGCACCCAGCTGCAGTCTGGTCCTCAGGGGTCGAGACCCAGGAGTCTGTGTGTGTGACACCAGCCACTATCAGAATGGCACTGCTTCTGCAAACGAAGGAGCCAGCTCTGAGAGGGGAGGGAACTTTCCCAGGGATGGGCGGAGGATTTAGGACTCAAATGCAAATCTTTCTCCCACTGTAGGCAGTCAGGAGGCCTGAATTCCCTGGTCACATGAAAACAAACCTGTGTTATTCGGGGTCGGCTCCAAGAAGCTTCCCTTCGACCAGTGATGTCGGACACGAATTGTGCACCTCCTACACGGCAGGCACTGTGCTCAGCCCTTCGCATTAATTTCATTTTATTCTCACAATGGGCCTGTGAGGCAGGTACTGCTGTTCACAACCATTTTACAGAAAGGGAAACTGGGGCTCAGAGAGGTTAAGTAACTTCCCCAGAGGCCCACAGCTGGTAAGTGGTGAAGCTGGGCTTTGAGATTCCGGCTGTCGCTGTCCTACCGAGGACACATTTAGACTGCGTGGGGGCGACTCATCCAGGGCTTTCAGTGCTTGGGCGCACGCATGGGGAAGATGCCCGGAGGTCTAAAGGTACAGGGTATCTGGGGAGATCGGTTGACACTGACTTCAGTGGCAGAGACTTGAGCTACACATGAGCAGAATACGAGTCAAAGTGAACTTTGTAGAGGTGACGGATTCCGCAAACCACCTGCGTGCAATCAGCCAAATCACTTAACCCAATATTGATTATGGGAACCCGACTGTTGCACTAGACTCAACGTGGGCCTTCCGGCCTCTCTGATCTGCCTTGGAAACTGCCAGACACTGAGCACGTGAAAAGATGCTCAACCTCATCAACAGAAACAATTTCAAAGAGATGAATTAAAACGAGATACAATTTTCTCCTGATTTGATTAGCCAAGACTAAAAAGAACAATAGTGTCTGGTCAAGAATGTCAAGAAAACTAGAAAAAAAGCTCACGTCCACTTGGCGGGTCTGTATGTGAGTACAGCCTTTCTGGAAAAGCACCTCCCAGAAGATGTTCCAAAAAGGTAACTGGATGTACCTTTGGACTCAACGATTCCTATGCTGAAAATTTGTCACAAGAATAAATACACCAAGCTACATGGCCGAGAACATGGCAGTATAATTTATAATAGCAACCAAAAGAGAAAAAGAAAATACCTAAAATTCCATCAACAGGAGGCTAGTTAACAAAAGCACTGTTGAGTCATAACATGAAATATCTCTCAGCCTTTAAAGAGGATAATGTAGAGTTCTGGGTATTTCCAGGAAAAAGATATTATAAAGTGGGAAATGTCAACACATACTATAAACTAATTCACATGTATAAGTACAATTATGTACAAGAATTTAAATCATCTATATGTGTTTTACATATACTCGTATGTAAATATATATTTATAAAGCGCAAAATCCTATGCTCACAGTGACTATTCTTGTGGGCTGGAGGTGGTAGGGGCAGGTGGATTCCACTATTCCACTTGCTATTTTTTGCATTTTTTTACAGCAATCGTGAATTAATAGAAAACATGTTTCTATTGGGGAGCGGGGATGAGAGGAGTCCCGACAGAGTCATCTTGCTCCGAGTAGGTCCTGCCAAGGCCAACATTGTACGGTTTTAAGATTCAGTCCACATGGACAGTGAACTCTGCGTCCCATTCACGTTATGGGAAGTTCTGTTTGACGGCCACACGGACCCGACTGACCCCCACTCGGACCTTTCCAATCAGCATTTAGGGCATCATAGCACGGTGGACCAGTCCTATGTCTTCCTCCTGGACCAGGCTGTGGACATCCCGAGGGCTGCAAAAACATCTCATTCATCCTCACACCCTCACTCCATGGTGGGACTCCACGCAGAGGCGGTGAGCCTTTCATTCACTGAGCTGACATTCCGTGAGCACCTGCCGTGTGCCAGGTGCTGCTGCAGACCCGCGAGCCAACAGAACAGACCCCAGCCTTGTATTCTGAAGGCTGCAGTCCCATTGGAATTTGTTGAACAAATAAATGACTCATGAATAGTGACCAGTGAGATGAACAGACTCAGCGGGTTGGGAGACCTGACCCAGTGACTCTGTGAACTAACACACAAGAGCATTGGCCCAGAGCGGACAGACCAGCTCTGTCCCCAGGAAGTGGCTTTCACATTTTTTTTTTTTTTTTGCCATGGCATCTCTTTTCAATAAACAATAGAGATAAAAATGACATTATTATGAGCCCATTTTCTAAGTCCAATTTAAAGCATTTCATACAATTGATATAATTTTGATTGACAAAATATATTTGGGATATAACACACTTGAGTGTATGTGATTTTTTTTACTAGTTTCTTAATACTTAACAAATAGAATAAAAATTAAATTCAAATAAAGTGTTTGCAGAACCCTGGTTAAAAAACCACTGTCCTGGAAGTAAGAGTGTTGTTTCTGTTTGTTTTGTTTTAAACTCTCTTAAGTATTATTCATTTGTTGATTCAATGAATAAGAATAGAACATGTTCAGTGGGGCAGGCAATCTTACAGTGAATTCAATATTAATAACCTCGGGGACCACAAGGAACCCAGAGATTAGGGGAGGGTGAAGGTGGGGCCAGGGGAACAGCAATGGTAGATAGACAGGTAGGTAGATAGCTGGTAGGTGGGTAGATAGATAGTAGATTGGGGGTGTGGGAGAGAGAGAGAGAAAGAGAGAGAGAGAGATGGTATAATAGGCTGAATAATGCCCCCCAAAGATGTCCACATCCTAATCCCCAGAATTTGTGAATATATGTATTTTGTCTTACAGGTAATAGGGACTTTGTCGATGTGATTAAGCTAAGAATCTTGAGATGGGGAGATGATCCTGGATCAGTCAGTGGGCCCAGTGTAATCACAGGAGTTCTTACATTTATAAGGGAAGAGGGAAGCCTGGGCAACATAGCGAGACCCCATCTCTACAAAAACTAAAAAAGAAAAATCAACCAGGCACGGTAGCACATGCCTGTAGTTCTAGCTACTCGGTAGGCTGAGGCAGGAGCCCAGGAGTTCAGGATTACAGCAAGGCTATGATGACATCACTGCACTCTGCACTCTAAGCCCGGGCAACAGAGCAAGACCCTGTCTCAAAAAAAAAAAATAGAAAGCAAGAAGGAGGCAGGAGAGTCAGAGAAGGAGACGTGGTGACAGCAGGGGAGGTCAGAGAGACACTGGAAGGGGCCACATTACTGGCTTTGAAGATGCAAGAGGACCACAAGCCAAGGAACGTGGGCAGCCGCTAGAAGCTGGGAAAGGCAAGGAAAGAGCTTGTAATATGTTGTAAGCATGGCAGGGGAAATAACTTTTTAAAATTCTAGTCTGGCTGTGAGTGGCAGGCTGAGCAGGAAGGAAGGGTGACCAGTTCTTCTAGGCCGCGGCAACCACAGAGCCACACTGATCCATCTGAGACTCCTGCATGCTGAGCCCCGAATGAGACTGCTGGAGTCCCTAATCCTCTCTGCACCCCAAGGAAGGGGCAATGGTGCACATTTGTGGTCACTTACGTCTCTAAGAATCAGAAAATCAATGACCCTGCGGGAGGTCAGCAGCAAGAGCCCAGGGCACAGTGCTGTGTCCCATGAAGGGCCTGGGGTTGGAGTCCCACAGACCACGGCTGGCAGCCACCTCCACCACTTGGGCAGTTACTTGAGTTTCGAGCTTCTGTTTCCTCATCGTACTATGGGAGGAAAGAAGGTTCTTGCCTCCCAGGGTGTTATGAAGATTGAGATGGCACATGCCCCCAGCACACAGTAGGTCCAGCCTCCCTCCCCGCTCCTGTGTCACCTGTACCTGCAGCCCAGGTCGGCCCAGCACTGGGCACAGTGCCCCCGGGCGACGCGGGCCCTCGGGATCCGGGGACACGGTGAGGCCCGGGGTGCCCGCGCCAGCCGCTCCATCTGGGCCGCGAGGAGAAGGGCAGGCTCAGCCATGGGCTGGCACCAGAGGCTCCCAGCCAGCTGCTGCGCTGCCGCCGTGGGGCTGACTCAGTCCACGATGCAGCGGTGCGAGCAGCAGGAGGGAGGCAGGGTCCTGTGGCACACCCAATTCCCAGGCAGGGACGAATGTCCAGCCCCCTCCTGGGGTGGGGCTGGCTCAGCCAGGGACACCCACATGCAGGTACACACACACACACACACACACACACACACACACACACACACACACACACACAGTCCCACCCACCTGCACCGGAGCCAAAGTGGAAATGGTGCCTTTCAAAAACAGTCACAAACTATTATTTGCATTATTACCTACAGCCATGCTGATTTTAGAGTCAAACCAAAAGAATAAAGAACATGGCTAACGTGGTGGAACAAAGGGTCTTCTCCCTGGCTCGGCCATGCCCCCTGAGGCTTCTCTGAGCCTTGGTTTCATCTTCTGTGCAATGGGGACAGTGACGTTTGCCAAGAGACAGGAACCAGCACGCAGGAAGGTGTCAGGTGTGAAAGGAGCAGGCCTTAGGGACGGGGCGGGAGGCCTTTCGGCTGGAATCTGGAATGTGGGGGAGGAGGAGCCGGCTGGGAAAGGCTGGGGGAGGGGGAAGCTGGGGACTTCATTCCCTCATCTGTAAAATGGGAACGCATCCATTCAGTCGGCAAACATTTAGGGAGCTCTGCAAGAGCCCTAGGGACAGCTGCCACGGGGTCTGGGAGCTAAGAGCAGACTGTGGGGCAGGAAGGCTTCCTGACAGAGGCGGGGGCGCTGGGTGGGGGGCGGGGCGGTTCCAGGTGCAGGCAATGGCACATGCCAAGGCGCGGAAGCGGAGCATTTCGGAACGTGTGAGGAACATTCCTCTTGGCTTCCCTGGCTTGTGTCCTGTTCCCGGCATCTGTTGTGGACCACGAGCCCCGTCTCTTGCTCTCTGGCCGGGACAGAAGGGTGACGTGCAAGTGGCCTTCCTCCAGACTGCCCTGCCCACACTGCCCTTGTCTGAGGCTCTGGTGTCAGGGAATTTTTGTCTTTACTCCAAGGGGCCCCAGAGTGCTCCTTAAGGAGGGGTCCCAAGTCTACAGGTCTGTTCTGGCCTGGGGGAGGCAAGAAATGGGGCCCAAGAAGCTAGAAATAGTGCCCCACTGGAGCTGCCGCGCCCAGGACCGTGCATGGTCCTGGTATCAAAAGATGGGAAAGGCCCCACAGGACAAAGCCATCACTGGCTCAACATGCAGATCGGGGCTGTGCAGATGCCCCCTGTCCACTTTTCCTGAGCCTCCTCCTGAGGATGATCCCAAGGAGCTGGGGGTCGGTCTCACTGGTGCTGAGACCCTGTCCCAGTACGTACATGGAATTCTCAGTGAAAGGGGTGCAAGATGACTTTGGGAGCCATAGGAGCATTGTGCGGGAAACATGGCGGGTGCTTACTAAGGTTGGGTGGGTGGATAGAGGAACAGATGGATGGAGGAACGGATGGATGGAGGAACGGGTGGATGGAGGAACGGATGGAGGGAGGAACGGATGGAGGGAGGAATGGATGGATGGAGGAATGGAAGGATGTGGAGGAATGGATGGATGGAGGAATGGATGGATGGAGGAACGGATGGAGGGAGGAACGGATGGATGGAGGAACGGGTGGATGGAGGAACGGATGGAGGAAGGAACGGATGGATGGAGGAACGGATGGATAGAGGAACGGATGGATGGAGGAATGGATGGATGGAGGAACGGGTGGATGGAGGAACGGATGGAGGGAGGAACGGATGGTGGAGGGAGGAATGGATGGATGGAGGAACGGGTGGAGGGAGGAATGGATGGATGGAGGAATGGATGGATGGAGGAACGGGTGGATGGAGGAACGGATGGAGGGAGGAATGGATGGATGGAGGAATAGATGGATGGATAAGTAGGAGGAAGAAAGAATGAAAGGTTGGATGGGAAGACGGGTGGACAGAGGAGGGATGGATGGGAAGACATTGAACTGGAGGAGGAGGGATGAATGCACGAGTGGTGGACGGGCAGGTGCAAGGCGCATGACTCTGCACGTGAACGTGTGAGAGCACGAGTGAATGAATGTGTGGACGAATGAACCAGTGAGCCATTAGGAGAATGGGGGGCTAAGTAAACAAGGGACGAATGAATTAATGCTCGAGTGAGTAAACAAGTCAGGACCTGAGTTAATGAACTTCTAGTCCAGAACTGAACACCTAGCTAGTTACCACCTCCCTTAGGTCCCAGGAACCCCTCGCGTGAAAGCAAGAAGGAGGAGAGAGTAGCCTGAGTCTCGGGTGAGCCGCACTTTCAAGCCTCTTTAAGGAAGTCCCACCTCTTGGCTTCCTGGAGAGCTGCTGTACGCAGGACGAGGCCTGGAGAAGCGAGCGTTCCCGGCAGCATTCCTCAGCCCGGGCAGGGCCCTGTCCCAGCCCTGGAGTATCGGCCAGGCTGGTTAGGGAGCAGTGGAGTGACACAGACCCGCTGGCCCCGCACCCTGGCAGCCTGCCAGCACCTCCCCGGGCGGTCTGCGATCCAGCTAAGCCTCTCACTGTCGTGGAGACTTGGTCTGTGCTCCTCAGACCCAGACAGCCCCCCAGGGGCTCACACATGTTGTGTGCTCAGCATTTCCTCTCTGCTTTCTGCCCCTCCACGTGGCTCCCACCCCCACCAGAGCACTGTCCTAGACTGTGTGATGTCGTGGCGCCCCGTAGGCCTGAGTCTGATCTTCAGCACCGCCACTTAGGCTGTGTGACTTCAGGCAAATGCCTTAACCTCTCTGAGTTACAGCTTCCTCATCATTTAAATGAAAATCTTGCCTGTCTTAAGGGGTGGTTGTGAGGATTCAGTGGGATAACATATGCCAGGCTCTTAAGTGGTGCCTGGCACGTGACGTGCATCGAGCTCCTAATTTCCAGGTGCTCAACTGGGTTTTCTCTGGACAGCAATCTATGGGGCACTTACACAGGGCCGGCCAGCACCGTGCTCCAAGCTGTGCACGCGTCGCCACATTCGACCCTCATGATAACCTCACGAGAGGGTGTTACGGGTTCACTCATGAATTGCGTACCCCCGAAAACACGTGTTGAAGGCCTAACCCCCAGTGCCTCGAATGTGACCTTATGTGGACATAGGGTCTTGGCAGAAATAAGCAAGTCAAAATGAGGTCATTAGGGTGGCCTTGCTGGCCTTTCTAGGTCAGCGGGGAAGCCAAACGATGCCCCAGCAGCCCCGACAGCAAAGCGGGGCAGTGGCTGAGTAAACGGTTCATGGAGCCACCAGGGAACAGGGCGGTGGGAGAAAGTGCCAGACAGTGCCAGGGAGAAGCTTCGGCCGCAGGAGGTTGTCACCAAAAGTGTTTATTCCGTGCCACTCTTGAAGCGCCCAGGAAAGCTCATCAGTCAGGACAAAGCGTGTGTGGAGAAAGTGTGTGTGTGTGTGTGTGTGTGTGTGTGACTGCATATGTATGAGAGAGTGTGAGTCTTTGAGTCTGTGTGTGAGCGTGACTGTGTGTGTCATAAGGCACTGTGCATGTGTGTGTGTGAGTGTGAGAGTGCGTGTGCGTGTGCAAGAGTGTGTCTGCGCATGTGTGTGTGAGTGTGTGTGTGTGTGAGAGTGTGTGTGTCTGCGAGTGTGTGTGAGTGTGCAGGGGCTGTATGGAGGGGCAAAAGGCTGGGGAAACGCGTACGTATAAATACGCTGGTGCCACCTTTTGTAGGGCAACTTGTCAGTATCTGCAAAATGAAAATACGTGTATTTCATACTCAAAAATGTCTCCTTTCAGAATGTATCTTCCAGATTTGAGTTCAAGAGCGTCCTTGCTGCCGGCTGGTGAGAACAGAAACCTCATCCAGCAAATTCAGTGGGGCGCAGGGCCCAGAACGGGGCTTTTCTCCACCTGATGAGGAACTCAGACGTTAGCCCGGGGACAGGAGGGAGCCACAGGGGGCTTTAAACAGGGGAGGGACGTGGTCCAGTCTGTGCTTTGGATGGATCGACCTGCCTAACGGGGCAGAAAGAGCAGAGACCAAAGGCTCGGAGACACGTTAATAATTCGGGCTCTGTTCTCTCTCCTTTGGATGTTTGTAAAGGCTCACAGTGGCTGGCAGGTGTGCAGCGAGGGAGAAAGAGGGGTAAGGTGATACCCAGGTGGCACCACGAGGGCCTGACCCCTCGTCCAGCCCGTCACCCTGCTGCCTCTCCCCACCTCTCCGCCAACACTCCAACCAGGAGAAGAACTGGCACAGTGGCTCGGGACCCGGTTCTGGAGTCACAGGGCCGGGGTTCAAATCCCAACTCCACCAGTGTGACTGTGAGCAAGTTACTTGACTGCTCCATGCCTCGGTTTCCCCATCTGTAAAACAGAGGTAACCAAAGACCCTACCTCATGGGATTCTGGCGGGGGTTAAAAGCGGCAGCATGTGTAAAGCACACCCAGAAGTACCTGATGGACGTAGTAAGTGCTCACAAAGTGTGGGCTCTTCCTGTCATACCTAGGCAAAGGGCAGACACTCTGTAGCAGGTTCAGAGCAAGGCCCCCTCTCGAGCAGCTGGCGAGAGGGTCAGGGGTTCCCGGAAAGGGTGAGGGACAGGTGGGCGCCATAGCCGGTTGAATGAAGGGACTAGGTCAGGCCCGGCAGGTTTGTCGGGGGCCCCTGAGCACGGGAAGCCCCTCGCTTCTTTAATATTTAACCCCACCCTCTGGCCCAGGCCTGCCCTAGGGCGTCTCTGGATCGGGTTGGCCAACTTGTCCCCCTGTGCCTGCTCCTCCTGTCTTCACAGACGTGGGCTCCTCCCTGGGGGGCCTGGGAGGTCTCCGCAAGGGTGTAGAACCCCTGGTTCGCCCAAAGGCTTTCGGATGTCTGTCTGCAGAGCACACGAGTTGGGGGTTCCAGGGAGGCTCTGCAGTCGCCAGAGTCCTCTTCCCTCCCTGGCCAGTCTCTCCCGTCCACTTCGGCCATCGCCGCAGCCCGGATGACGCTGGGAAAGCCAGGCTAGAAACAAAGGGAAGGTTGGGTCTGGCATTGGAATGAAAGAGTAAGAAAGAGACAGGTAAGACGGGGAGGGAAGGGCCCTAGATAAATGGGATAGGGTTCTTGCACAGCATCTGAAAATCTCGTTTTCTCACCCCACAAATGGTACAAAAATGGGACAGGCTGCGTAATTTATGGGGCCCAACAGCAAATGATCAGGCGGGGCCCCTTGTTTAAAAACTAAGAATTTCAAGCCAGCCACAGCAGAGCGTTAAACCAAGCATGGGGCCCTTCCGACCCGGGACCTTGTGTGACCGCAGGTCACACACCCTGAAGCTGGCCTCGCACGTAAATTTCTGAGTGCACGTACGTGAGTTTTTCTGGGGAAAGGGCCCTCAACTGTCAAGGTCACGATCCAGAAAGGTTAAGAATCACGAGGTTAAGTGAGGGACCCTCCTTCTTGTCCCCACCTCCTCCCTCCACTCAGGCAGGGGCTCCAGGCTGGGGGTTAGTGAACATGTTGCTCGAGCCAGCTTCAGAATAAGGCGGGCTCTGGTGGCTGTGGGGACAGACAGAAGCGTGCATGTGAGAGACGGAGATTACAGTTGGGAGGGGAAGGCATGAGGCTGACCCCCTGGGTGTGTGGCTCAAGCAACTGGATCGGTCAGTGGTGGTGCTGGGTGTTGCTTTCTTGGGTAGCCACAGAATCAAGAATTCCACTGTAACATGAAAGGGTGTCAAGCAGAGAGCAGGGCTCAGAAAGAAGATTAGAGTGAGACACACACATTTTGGGGCCATTGGCATAGAGAGGCATCTAACCCCATTGGAACGGCCAGTCTCCTGGCTGTTCCATGGGTCCAAGAGCCCTGCTGCTCTGGGCACAGTAACTGCCCTGACACCCAGGGTTCTTATCTGTAAATGGAGGCGAGAATAACATCCTCTTTCTCAGGCTTCATAAATGTGCTTGTGAAAGAAAAATGCTTAGCACAGGCCCTGGTACCTATCAAGTCCCCACTGAATATCAGCTGTTATTGTTATTATTAATATTGTGATCATGTCATTCCTTCTACAAGTACGTATGGAGCACCAGGCAGTGCTTTGGGCTTTAGATACTTCCATGATCAGCGTGTTAGGTGGTGAGTGTCACGGCAAAAGTAGAGCAGAGCAAAGGGCACGGTGTGTGTTGGGGGTGGGGGTGTTGCAGTATCAAATAGGGCAGCTGGGAGAGCCCTGCTGACAAAAATGACGCTAGAGCAAACCCTTGGAGGTGAGGGAACAGCCCATCAAAGACGGTAAGGAGGCGAGGTCGTAGAGGATAGGGGACCTTTGCATGGGCTCCTCATGGCAGAGGTGGCTGGTCCTCCAGCAGGGCCAAAGCAAGGCTCCCACACAATGAGGCAGAAGGTGGAGGGAGCCGCCCTCCCACAGAGCAGCTTCGGGCAGCCCCTGAGCCTCCCCTGCCACCCCCGCCCCCGAGAAGGGGCTCACCCGGCAGAGCAGGCTCACCCGCACAGCCACTCCTCCTCCGGGCTAGGCAGTGCCCCCTTCCAGCAAAACTTGGCCAGGCCTTTGCTCCAGGGCTCCCAATCCAAGTACAGATCTGAGTCATTTTCCTCTGAATCTGTGGAGATACAAGACCAGGCCTCAGGGGTGGTCACATCCCATCTCCTAGCCTGACCCAGGGGGAGTGCCCTGCCAGGCCGGGGTATCCCTGAAGCCTTGCCTGAGGCCAGTGGGCCGAGGCAGAGTCATACAGGCCAGCGCTGAGACCTCAGGAAGACTTCTGGACCTTTCGTGGTGACCAGGGACCAAGAGGGAAGGTTGTCCTGTGATTTGGAAAGTGGCCATATCCACCTACTAGAGGGAAGGACCCCAGAGGTGAGCAAATGACATGCTGTTTAGGTCGTGGTCCAGGAGGAGGCACTGAGGAGACACAGTCGTTGACTCATTCATATTCGTCCAGTAGTTCATTTACGAAAAATAGACTGAGTAGAGAGGGACAATGATTTCCATGGCAGCACTGTTGTGTGGTCACACACACACACGCACACACACACACACAACAGAACACCTGGAAACTGCATGTCCATCACATAGGTCTGGTAGACTAAACTGTGGCACGGTCACACCCCAGGGAGACCTAGTCCACCCATCCTATGGCTTGTCATGAAGCTCTTACAATGATGGCGTCATGCCCGCATCTTTCTGTGTGTGCGTATGACAGGCTCTCACCCTATTGCCCAGGATAGAGTGCAGTGGTGTCATCGTAGCTCACTGCCACCTCAAACTCCTGGGCTCAAGAGATGCTCCTGCCTCATCCTCCCAAGTAGCTGGGACTACAGGCACGTGCCACCACACCTGGCTGGTTTTCTGTATTTTATGTAGGGACGGGATTTCACTATGTTGCTCAGTTTGGTCCTGAACTCCTGGCCGCAAGTGATCCTCCTACCGTGGCCTCTCAAAGTGCTGGGATTGCAAGTGTCAGCCACCACGCCCAGCCTATAACTGTATCTTTTGACTTGCAGGATATCCACAATATATTACAAGCCAGTTGCAGAGAAATGTATATGGTAGGATCTTTTTTTTTTTTAAAAAAAAATACTGACCCCCCCCCAGTTTTTTTGAAAACCTACATGTTATTAAGCTTGTGCATGAGTTTGCTAACATGGCTTATCTTGGGAAGTCAAGGGGAGAAAGGAAAGCAGATAGGGAAGATTATTTTACTTACTAAACTTTTAAAAAAAAACTCGTTTCACTGGTTGCAGCGAAGTAAAGAAGGCTAACGAGAGCCCTCATATTGCAGAGCAAGAGGAGATAAGAAAGGCTGGGCCTCAACTTCTTCATCTGTGCAATGGACAAAATAATAGCATCTTCTATGATGAGGGTTAACTGCAGTAAGACATGGAAAACTCAGCGCCGGGCTGAGCACAGGCGTTCGACAATGTTGGCAGTTAGCGTGACTTACACATCAGTGCAACGGCTTGAAGTGATTGTTCTTCACTTGCAGAGAGTGATTATTTTTTTTAACGTAATACTATGTGCTAAGTGTTTTCAATTCATTTGCTCATTTAATTCTTTTAACAACTTCCTAAAGGCAATTACTAGTATTTTTCATATTTTACGGGTGAGGAAGGCTCAGAAAGGAGAAATGACTTGTCCGGGCCCCCAGCCAGGGAGCGGCGGCACTGGATTCAAAGCCGGCCTCCCTGCGCCACAGTTCCGGTGGGTGCACTTGTTCGGAGGGAATTTGAAGGCAGCTTTGAGTTGAACATCTTGCTCCAAGGCCCACCACGCGGAGTGGGCAGGACGCTCAACAGGCACGGTCTGTTGTGCCATGCCTCTGTTTCAGCCCCAAATCCGTCCCTTGGGAGGTTACTTTCTTCCTTCTGCAAACTCCTTTCGCATCGCAAAAGGAAACACTTGCAACAGGGCACGTTCCTCTTGAAGGGTGTACATGGCTCCATCCTCTCTCCCCATGTCATGGCCAGAGCAGCACTGTCCCCCTGGCCAGCTTCTCCCAGAGTCCCTCAGTGCCAGCCGTGCCAGGCAGCTCCCTTCTCCTCCCCACCTGCTCCTCCTTTGACCTGGGCAGGTGCACCCTGTGGGGCACTCCGTGCTCAGCGCTCTTCCCTCCAGGCCCTGAAACTGCCCTGCTGAGCCAGGCAGGAGTGGGCTTGGGGCAAGGAGGATGAGGGGGAGGTGGCAGAGCTACCCCCATCTGTTTTTCATACTGGACTCCAGGCCAAACTGACTCCAATCAAGAGATTCTCCACGCAATAGAAAACCACCGGCCTGGGGGTCCTGAGCCCCCAGGCCCCTAAACCCTGGCAGGCCAGCCCCTGGCTTTGGGCCAGTTCCCAGCACAAGGGCAAAACTCACACAATAATTCTGAGACTTCCGAGAACACAGAGACCCTGAGGGAGGATTGCACACCCCACTTTCAGGATGGTTTCTCTTTATTGCAAAATTAACACAGTACTTATTTCAAAATGCCATGTGAAAGGCCAGTGAGTAAACAGCCTCTCAGGAGAAAGTCTGAGGAGGGGTCAGGCTGGGGCAGCTTGTGGATGGTTTTGGAACAGGGCCTCCAAGGAGAATGAATTCCTGGAGATCAATGCTTAGGCCTTGGCCTGGGTGGTAGGTAAAGTGTCCCTCCGCTGTGGAGAAGCCACCCAAAGCCACTCTGACATTTCCTACCACACTGATAAAACCAACATGGGCTGGATTATTTTCTCAGCCTACAGGCGCCCACCACGTGCCATGTGTGTACATGAGCTATGTGCCCTGCCCTGCAAGCACCTGAGACGCATCGACCCATGGAAGCCCTTTCATACATACCCTAAAAGGATTATCACCTCCATTTTGCAGGTGAGAAAACTGAGGCTCAGAGAGGACATGCCCAAAGTCATACAGATAGTAGGTGGCAGAGCCAGGATTTGAAGGGAGACAGTTGGCTCTTAAGTACTTCATAGGTATGTGACCTTGGGAGATTGCTTCTCCTCCCCAAGCCTCGGTTTCCTCAATTGTAATCTAAGAATTACTTCACAAGGTTATTTTGAGGATTAAATGAGATACTGCATGTCAAGTGTTTAGCACAAGACTTAGTACACAGTTTTCAAAAAAGTTTAGCTATTATTATGAACTACTAAGAAGCAAAGCTGAAATCTGAACCCAAGTCTTCCAGACCCCAGAAAGGAGACTTTTATAGCCAGTACCCAAACAAGTGTTCTGTGTCCCACCGGCTGCTGGGCCCAATGCCAGAACTGTGCCCCTCAGGGAGGGCTGTGGTCTGCCCTGGGAACATGAGGAAAATATACTTGAAACAAACGTTTTCTGGAAGCAAGAGGACTTCCTAGGCTCTTGCCAGGAACTCCCGATAATTACACAATTACTGGCCCCTACATTTGAGACCAGAGGGCCAGTGGAGCTGGGAGGACTGCTCGCCCTGCCTCAGTGACGTCTGACCAGAGCTGGCTGCATGCTCAGCGCCCTCCCTGCCTAGCTGGCCAAAGGTCATGGGGCTGAGGAGCAGGAGGTGGGAGGCTAAGTGGTCCCCAGGAAGAGGGCTCTCAATGAAAGGGACACCCAGGGAGACGGGACACCCAAGGGGCAGAAGAATCACTCCTGCCACATGGCCAGACCAGGCCCTGGCCCACCTGCCCCCAGCTGTCCCCATGGCCGGCTTTGCCCTGGCTCTTGCTCCCCTCGGTGGTATGCTGAGGTCAGCATGAATGTCAGTTGGCTTCCATGATCCTGTGTCTCAGAGAAGCCAGATCCCCTCCCACGTATGGTCTAGGTAGAAACAGTACGGTCTGTGAGTACCCGAAAAATGCCTAAGGCTGCTGTATCCCATTGTCCAATATGTTGACTACACAAAAGCATCCAGCTCACGGGGTGAGTAGGACTGAAATCCAGCCCGTGCTCTGCTCATAAAGCCTTGTGCCCCAGCTGCATTCACAGGAAGTGACACCTTTTTCTAATTCATCTGCCCAGAAGAGCCACCTCTTTCTAATTTGTACAAAAGATCATATGTGTTATAGACACGCAAACCCATTGCTTTGCAGTCAAACTCGGGGACTCACTTTTGAACTCTAGATTAAGAAACCCTAAACAACCAAGCCCATCCTTGTCTCTTAAGAGTTCACTGCTTATATCTGAGCCAGCACTTAAAATGCCTGAACAAAACCCTTTTCTGTGGTTGATTCAGGACACTCTGGCCTATTCAGCCTCCTGCTCAGCTCCAGGATTGGAGCCCAGCCTAGACAGGCAAGAAGCTCACCTTGGCTAAGTAAGAAGCGTAGCCAGACGATCAGCAAAAATAACAGCAAACCCACAGGGAGGCACAGCCAGAAAACCAGGAAAGAAAACATGAGATTGTTCACCAGCGGCACCAAAGGGTACCTCATGGTGCACGTGTGGCTGGGCCAGGCCAGCCTGGGCTGGGCCGGCAGGGCTGCCCCTGGGGACCTGGTAGGCTGGACCACGCTCTGCTCTCAGCCCAATTGTGACTGAGCTGTGATGCAACCAGGAAGTCACAGTGTCCTTCGGGCAAAGCCCGCAGGGGCTACCTGGAAGGAGAGCTGTGCATTTGGACGAATGTGCGGGAGGTAGGCAGTGAGACAGTCTGGCTGAGAATAAAAACCCAGGCCTCCAGACAGGCAGGCTTGGGTTTAAATCCCAGCTCAGCAGCTATCGGGTTCTTGTGACACTTCCCTGATCCTCTTTCTTCTAAGATGGAAATAATTCTGTAAGTTAGAACAATATTAAGATGTGACAAAAATTACCCCTCTGCGTGGGTGTTGACATATCTGAGGTCACAGATACCTCCCGGAGCCAGCAGGCCCCCAGTCCTGTAATTCCAGCTGCACGTGTCCACACCTACGCTCTGGGAGTGCTGGGGACTGCGCGGACTGGACGGAGTATGCCGCACCTAAAGCAGGCAGCGGGAGTAGCTGCAGCCAACCGCTGTGAGGGGCGTTTGGGTTCAGTATTGCCAGAACCCCCCACTTTCCCAAGGGAGCCAAAAAGTCTGGATTTTTATGTAAAATCCTCCAATTTAAAGTGTTGGAGCAAACCTTGCTACATCATTGGCTTAACAAAACCTGTCTGCCAGGCTGGGTTGGGTCACTGGGCTGCCACTTAAGAACTTTCTAACACAACGCATAGTAGGCCCTCGCTAAATGATTATTTAATCTGCAAGTTTCTGTACGTCTCCTTATTAGGGTTTTCAGTGAGGAACTTACAAAGGTATTAACCTTGTTCCTTTTTCTCTGTAGTGGGCAGAACACTCCCACCTCACCTCTGTCCTTCATTCATTCATGAGGCATTTAGTAAACGTCCATGTGCCAGACCATGACAGGAAAGAGGCTCTGGGCCTCCTGGGGGGAAGAACTGGGGCCAGGTCGAGAGCCTGGCACGCACGGGGAGCCCACTCCCTGGACCGCCTGCCTCAGTCACTGCCAGCAGGTGGGTGGGGGCTGGAAGGTCACCACGCATGACAACTCCTAGGCTCACCCTGATCACAGTCAGATCTCCGGAGGCAGGAGTGAGGCTCAGGACTCAGCACGCTGATGAGCAAGCAAGGTGATTCTGACACAGACTTGGTTTTGAGACCACAGCAGCGCCTGGTGTAAGAGCACCAGGTGAAAAGTCAGGCGGAACCAGTAGTGGTGGCAGATCTTGGGGGAGACACGGGGTAGAAGGAACCCCTGTAGGAAGACACCAGTCCAAGGAGACGGGCATGTAGGGCCAGCCATCGAGAAAAATAGAGTAGGGGAGAGCTGGGGCTTGGTTTTGTTTTGAGGGAGGCCTACCCCAGCTGCAGGACGCAGGAGTTCCCGAAAGTCTGGGAAAATGGCATTAATGAGCATCCAAGGAAGGCAGGAAAGCTGCGCCGGATGCAAGGCCCAGAGACCAAAATCGGGAGTGGGTGGTTGGGGCCGGGGGCGACTTCTTGGCGTTGGGTCCTGGAGGGGCTGAGGTCAGAGAGGGTGGAGCATCATAGTTGAGAAAGGCTTGAACACACACTTTCCGGCTGTGAAATCTTCCCGGACACCCAAACAGAGCCGCTGCGCGCCGGCCCAGCTGGAGGTCCTGCGCTGAGCAGGCAGAGCAGGTGTGCACACGCCGAGGGGAGGGTCCAGACATGGCTCAGGGGCTGGCACACAGCGTCATTCTGAGTCCGTGCCAGGACAGAGGGGCAGCTCTTGGCAGAGGCATGTACCATGATGGTTCTCATTGGTTTCCTCAAGTGGTCCACCCACCCCTCTATGTGTGATGTGGGCATTTAGGCACTAATCTGGCCCCATGGGACCCTCTGCAGCCAACCCTACACAAGGGACAGTGGGAGCAGGGGTGACCTTCTCTGCGTCTCCCCTCTTTCCTGACTGCCCAGCCCTGGCAGGGCTGATATTCCGCAGGCAGAAGGCATGGCTAGCGCTTCCTTGTTCCCAAGACACAGAGAGCCATCCATCCCCTCAGCAATTCCCAGCCTTTTCAAGGCGAGCCTCTGTGGGCAATGTTTTCGTTATACGAGCTCCTTCCAGCATAGAAGGCCAAATACTTTCTTTGAAAATTAAGCGAATTTTGAGTATTTCACGAAACTCTACAGATCTAAATTATGCAGGGTAGCCGAAGCCAAGCAGACATCCCCTGGAAAGGGTAACTTAAGAGCACCCATGCAGGAGGCAAACCCCAGCCTGTAACCAAAAGCATACACCAAGTTATTAGATAAGAATCTCCTTAAAATTTAATTGACTAAATGTATTACATTCAATATTCCATGTGTTTCTTCTGGACAAAGGATTGGCATAAATACAAACAAATCTCTGGGCCTTCTTCCCTAACCGACGAAGATAAAACACAGGAGGCGAGGGGACACGGGTGCACCTTCATATTTACATTTCGCCTTTACTTTACAGTTCAGTGCCAGAAATATTTACAGAAAATACAATAAGAAAAAGATCATGTCTTGGCAACATACTGAAATTCATACAAATTGTATATATGATTTCAAGCAAATAATGATACTGCTTATTTTTTAGCCACAACTGCCAAGCCCTTCAGAGGAGAAAGATGTCTTGGTCACTGCAAGAGACGAGGACTTGGGAAACTTGATTTGTTTCAACAAGTATTTATTGGGCGCCTACTATATGCAAGGCACTGTGGAATCCCAAATTACACCTTTTCCCTCTCCATTAAAAAAAGAAAAGCATCTGAAGAACAGGAGTTGATATTCTGAGAAAAACACTATACAGTACATGGCTTCGTTAGCTACTGAGAAACCCACCGTTTGATTCCACATTGTACAGATGGATCACCTCCAATCTCTCCATCTCGCGAAGAGGCTGTCTTGGAAATCTTTAAAACAGACCATCTGAATCCAATGATCATTTCACGTAAACACAGAAATCAATTCTTTTTAGGAAGATATAACCTGAATGGGTTTTAAAATGCTGAATGGAGAACTACTGCTGGCAGGAGTGTCAAATTACCTCCAATATGTGTCTTACCACCTACCACAAAATATGTCTTTCAGCAAGGCTGACTCCCACTTTGGGTAAAGTTCCACCTTCCAAAAGAAATAAATACTCTTAAAGACTCTGCCTCTCTAAAATCCAGTCTCTGCAGAGCTTGACAAATGCTTTCCCAGCGTTATATAGAAAGTAACTGTTCATGAAGGCTTCATACACACAACCTGTAGGCAACTGACATTACCAGCCAAAGGTGTAGGTATTCTGTATTTATAAATGAGTCCAGAGGCGAATGGGCTGCCCTGAAATACAGGACCTGGAAACGGAGGAAAATGGCGTGTGTGTGTGTGTGTGTGTGTGTGTGTGTGTGTGTGTGGCCAGGGGAGGGGGATCCACCCACAAGGTAATTATTCCTTTCTAAGGGCTAATGGACAGGAGAGGGTCTTAGGAAGAAGCCCTGGACAAAAGGTAGAGCTGGTAAACAAGGAAAGAGTTAAAAAGGTAAAAGCCCTCCTCACTGTCCTTAATGTTCCCAGCCAGAGAGGAGGAGGAAAGCTTAAGATGGGAGTAGGAAGGTGACCTGCCTCTGTCTCTTGGGTAACACTTTCCATTTTCCTCTTCACAGAACGCCACACTCATCCACCCCCTGGTGCACCTGGCACAGACGTAGCAACTGAACTGTTCAAGCCACAGACAAAAGTGGTTCTGGCTTCCCCAAAAAGGTTTTGAACATATCCTAGCACATTTATCAGGTGGGCTACTAAAGATTATTATTAGGTACTAAATATGTTCCTCCAGCATTATTCTACTGAGTGATTTCTAACACAGGCAGTTGGGTGAATTTAGTGACCATGAACTCAAACCCAAACTAGTGAAAGGTCCAAGGGTTCTTACCACACTCTTTTCGGGCAGATGCTATTTTGAGCAGAAGGAACCAGCACCTGGCAAGGTATGCATATCCCATACTCCATTGGCTCTGTACACACTGGGGGCTTCATGCCTCAAGGGCCGCAAAACCCCCCCTCCCCGGAAAAACAACAAAGCCCCCAAAACAAAAAACGCAATCAAAAGGGGTGGTCAACTAACCAAAGCAACAAAAATAAAAAAAAGTGCCAAAAAATAAAACCGAACGAAAGAACAACAAAGCCCATATCCCATACATTTTTCTGACATTGAAACTATGCCAGAAGTAAAAGTTTTATCTGGAGAATCACACCAAGGAAGTACATCTACATCAGTTATTTTTGACCTCTGGAATGTTATAAGTTGCACATCAATTTATAGCCTTCTTTGTTCACTCCAACTAGAACAAGGGCCCATATTCCTCTTGAAATGTCAATCTGGAATTACCTTGAAAGTTTTTAAACCTCACCTTATTCCTGCTGAACTACTAACCCAATTTCAGGGTAGAATTTTCTCATCTTTATCACACATCTTTATCACACATCCCCCCTCTCCCATGCTGCCATCTGGAAATGTCAATTTATTGCCCAGCTTAAAAAGAAAATCAATTATTGAATAATATCATACCCTGAATGGAAACTGGAGTCATAGAAGGAGGTGGTTATCTTTACCTGAGCTTAAAACAAACACGAAGAAAAGGCGATGGCAAACTTAAAACCAGAAGCTGCTATGCTCACATTTCTTGCTCATAGATGGCAAAATACATACTTTTGGAGTAGAGTTATCTGCACAGGGAATTAGGTCCTACACTATCCCCTGCCTCCTAAGTAGACTACCAAAATATCAAATCAAACAGACCATTGTAGCCCTGACCTACAAAATCTACTGACATCAGAGTTCAAGTGGGAAAACACCCCTTATACAACTATGATCACTCTTTGGACTTCAAATGTCACTTATTTTCTTAACATAAAATAATCTTACTAAAGAACAAAGCATATAAGAATAGGAGAAATGAGCGGTGTATACTGCAGCACTATAACAGGAATCCTTATACGGATGTTCGGGGTCTGGCCACCTCAAAAGTTTTATCCCTGGCAGAAAAGTAGCAGCGAGGTAACAGAAGTATTTCCAAAACCCTGGCAGGGATCTGTTGTGTCTTCAGCTGGCAAAGTCCAGAAAACATGACAACAGCCATTTCTAACAGGAGCCACCCAAGGAGGTGGGTACTAACAGCTGATGAAACATTACGGTGAAATCCAGCAAGCTCTCTGGGAGAGATCTGAATTAGTATTGTTGAGAGGCTACTTTCTGAACCTCAAATTAGAATCCTTCATAAACTATTGCAGTTTGCTGCTTGGTCCTGAAATAAGAGACAGTGGAAGAAATCAAATAATTTTGCAACCCCTATTGTGAATTTACATTTTTTGATATTTAATCAATGAGTCATAAATGTGTAACCGGTCATTATGTCACCAAGCTGGACAATAATGGAGAGAGTGGAGGTATCACTACTGTCTTATAACTGTTAACCCCACAAACTTCATTTGCATCCCCATTAAAGGACAGGGCCATGCCATTTTAGGTCATCCAGAAACTGGGGCTTCAGACAGATCTGCACAGCGATGAGAATGACAACTTTTTGAAGTGTGGAGAAAAAATATGAAATATTTTAATGTCTTCTTATCTGAGCAAAAAACATTTATGTTCTTTTCTTTTTGTCGGTGTGACAGCTGGATGACAAATGGACCTACCAGTGAGCAGAAGGTTGAGACTTGTTCCTTCTCCTCCATGCTAGCAACGCGAGTCTTTAAATGTCCTGAAAGATTCTGAGACAGATTTTAATTCTGAATACAACCTCCTAAAAAGTGAGGTATAAAACTATCTTCAACTTCTAATTTGCAAATTTGTTGATACTACCAATGTGTGTGTTTAACTGAGATGCATAAAAGCCTTTCTCCTCAAAAGGCTTGTATTTAACTAAAATTGTCACTTTTAAAAGAAAGTTTATGGTTAAAATGTATATCGTCATTACCAGCAGGAGTATGATTGTGTCTGGGAGCCCATTTCACTAGAAAGCCGAAAGTCTTCTATCAAATGGGTTTATAATGTGTTTCTTCTATTCTGGTGATTAAACAGTAAGCTCTTAGGAAGTGATTTGTTTTTATTTTTACAGTGATCACCTATCAAACTGTTTTGCTTTGATATCATAGTCCCCAAACTGAAGTTCAATAGTCCTAGACAGACAGTGGTCTAAGAACTGCAGTTCTTGAGCCCAACCTCCTGGAAAAGTGAAGTATAAAACTCTGGCTCTAACTGCTTGTTCCGGTACTTGTTGACAATGTCGGTGATTTTCTGTTTCCGGCGGACGTGTGGTGGGCTGTAGGAGTCGCTCTCGAGTCTCTTTCTTCTACATATGTTAATTACAGTCTGCCTCACCAGAAAGCCTTGAAAACAGACAGTTTGAAAATAAATGTTAACAACCAGTCAGTCAGGTGAACTATCAGTATTCAGGTGAACTCAGCACACTCAAACTATTTCATTCAGTTTGCAAAACTTCCCATCCCCAGAGAGGGAGACATAGCATTAAGATAAAACTGTCAGAAGAAACTGACAAAGAAAAAGTGTATCAAAATCTAGTCTGACAAGCCATTGCCTGCTCTGAATTATAAAACATCTATCTTCATTTTCTAATACCAATAGTTTACGAAGTTCTACTTGTAGAACTTCCCTTTTTAACATGAGCCAGAGCATTTCCTACATGTGGACCCTATTAACTAACATCACCATTTCTTTACTTTCACTTCTTTTTGGTTTATAAAAATGTTAAAGAAAGAAAGAAACTCTAACCCTTCAGCCGCACATAAAGACCTTACCAAGAGCACGTCTGCTGACTATCATCCCGTCCACAAGAGGGATAACCATGTTAAATTTTCCAGTGGCTCCTTGAATTTTTATCCGGAATAATCCAGTGTTTAAAGGGTGGATGAATATGACAGGAACTTCTTTCTCAAGAGTCGTAGATCTGAAGAAAAGAAAATTTTTTTTTACCCCAGACACACAAGAGTCAAAAGCTTCCATATGTAGCATAAGCACACCAAGGGGACCTATTGCCAGGCCGTGGTTTGAGAAAAGTCAAGGGGTCAGGCTGCTCAGAATCCTCTTTCTGGGAGCCCATGTTGCTGCCTCCTGTAACACTTGGCCCTAAATGTCCACTACTGGGGTCAGGTAGCTTTTTAAGCTAACAAAAAGGGGCTGAAAAATATGCTTAGAAAACCACTAGGGACAGGGGGGTGGAAGGAAAGACCAGAGAACTCTTATTGTGGGGAGCTAAGAATCTAGCAACCAGCTATGGGACTTTCTCTTAGTTCCCTCTTCTTGTAGAGGACAAAAGTGTTCCCCATGACTAGAGCACAGGGAATTCCAGTACGGTCAAGGCTGGTATCTCAGACCAGAAGCAGGAACACCACTTAGGTCCATTATGGGAATCTCTGATATAATTTTTTTTTTTTCAAAAGTGGGAAGAGGAGGTTGGAAGGGCCATTCCTCTGAGCCAGCTACAAGTATCCTCCTCAGCTGAGGTGGTAAGTGGCCACATCTTGACAGGGCCAAAGCCCTCACAGCCTCTGACCAGGCAGCAGATGCTAAGGTCAGCAACTGCACTTACGGAAGAGTCAGTTACACATCCCATGGCAGGGATAGGCAACCTATCTAGTAGTGCTCATGATACTTGCGATGCTACGTGTTGGGGGTTTTTCTGCAACACAATGAGCTTTCTTTCTACACACGTAAAGTGATTTTAGCCAAAGATTAACTGAGTTAATCTTTCAAGACATTAAAAAAAAACCAATTAATCCTATAGTAATTCTGTCCCCCAAACAAATTCTAAACTTTGCAAAACTACCAATAAAATACAAATTTTACAGTTGAATTGTATTACAACCTTTGACCTAAAAAAGATTAAAACAACAGAAACAGTATAGAACAGGTAAAGTTCTTGTCCAAACTAGTTCTAGAAAAGTCTATTTCGTGACAACTATCCTATAGTCTCTTTAGCAAGTCAGTGTCATGAAGAAAAAAGAAAAAAAGACTATTCCATATTAAAAGAGATTTAAGGAATTAACCCCAGATGTGTGGTCCTGGAGTGAATTCTGGTTTGAACAAACCAACTGCAAAAGGTATTTTAGGGAAAATAGAGAAATTTGAATATATTTATTACTGTGATAATGTTATCTTTAGCTATCTAAAAAGTGTTCTTTTTAGAGATGCATACTGATGTATTTAGAATGTTAAGATAATCTGTAATTTGTTTTAAAATACTTCAGCATAAAAAAGTGGAAGTTTTAAGAATGACTTGACCTCTTCTAGAAATTTTTCAAAAATTATGTTTTTTGAAAACCATTTCTGCTTACATCCTTTCAAAAATAATCTAACAATGCTAGAATAAATTCATCTTACATGCAATTCGAATCAGATCCTGTAATTAGAAGGAACCTCGAGTTAAAATATCAAGTTTGAGGGTAGCTCTGTGAAGTGAGAGATGAGGTCAGCATTTGCAGTGACAGGCCCGGCTTCAGATCGCTTTCCCCTGCACTGACCGGAGGTGTGATGCTGAGGAATAACCTCTACAAGCTTATTTTTTCCCACCGGTAAACTGGGGATGATAACTGAAACTCTTGGAGTTACAAACCAAACACCAGGAAGCAAAAAGCCTTGAAAACTATAAAGCCCCTACAAATACAGTGTTACTATTCTTGGAATCAGAGTATTCTCTTTTTATCCTTCCTGTGTATGGGCAGGTAAAATAGAAACTTTAACATGTAATAAAGTTAGTATTACATTTTACTTAAAAATATTTATCCATTAAATAGCTCATAAGACTAGGATATTTTAACTGTTATTTATTCAGATTGCTTTGACCAATTTAACTCTATTATTTCTATCTAATATTGCCACCCTATTGCCATGGTCTTCATTAATACCTAATTGCCTCTATGTCTCCATTTTTCTTTTTGCTATAGATAAATGTAAAATACCAACTAATTATATCATTTAGAAGTCCCTACTAAGGTGCTCAACATCACTAATCATCAGAGAAATGCAAATCAAAACCACAATAAGATATCACCTCATACCAGTTAGGATGGCCATTTTTTAAAACAATGAAAGATAACAAGTGTTGGTGAGAATGTGGAGAAAAGGGAACCTTTGTACACTGTTGGTGGGAACGTAAATTGGTGCAGCCATCATGGAAAACAGTATGGCAGCTTCTCAAAAAATTAAAAATAGAATTATGATATGATCCAGCAGTCCCACTTCAGGATATATATCCAGAGGAACCAAAATCAGGACCTCAAACAGGTATCAGCACTCCCATTTTTACTACAGCATTATTCACAATAGCCAAGACATGGAAGCAACCTAAATATCTACTGACAGATAAATGGGTAAAGAAAATGTGGTATATACACACAATAGAATATCATTCAGCCTTAAAAGACAAGGAAATCCTGTCATCTGCAACTGTATGGATAAACTTAGAGGACATTATGCTAAATCAAATAAACCAGGCACAAAAAGACAAATTCAACATGATACCATTTATATTATGAATCTAAAATAATCAAACTTGCAGAAGCATAGGATAGAATGGTGGTTGCCAGGGGCTGGAGGGAGGGGGAAATGGGGTATTAGAGGGTACAAAGTTTCAGTTATGCAGAATGAGTAAGTCCTAGAGATCAACCGCACAACACAATGGCTAAAGTTAATATTACTGTACTGTATACCTAAAAATTTGCTAAGAGCATACATCTTCCTTATCACGAACTAATAAGAAGAAGAAGTGGGCAGGAGAGAACTTTTGGAGGTGACGGATATGTTTAGATTGGGGTGATGGTTTCACATGTATACATCAAATATGCACAGCTTTTTGTATGTCAGTCCTACCTCAACACACTGGTTAAAAAAATCCTTGCTAATTTGATAACCTTGTGCATTTATGTATAAACTTCTTTGATTCTTTTTCTCTATTTTTATTTCTTATGCCTACAACCCTTTTGTTTCATTATAATTATTTCTTTATTAAGCTGCAATTAGTATATAAAAAATAGACATTCTGATGAACTTTAAGCAAATAAAAAGAATGTACCTCAGAGAAGTGCTACTGTTTGCAGTAGTTTCCACACCAGTACTGATCTCTGTCATCAGATCTGAGAGGGGAAAGTTTTCTGGAAGAAAATAATAGCATTACAATTAATATCTCCCTCATTTTTCCCCAAGAAATAATAAGAAATCTAATTTCCTAATCTCTTTACACAAATGGGCAACAAATATATGAACTGTGCTATCCTAAAATATATAATCCTAATTATTGCCCACAAATAAAAAAATTCTCCCCCAAGACATATTTTAGCTAATTTCATCTAAAGCAGAAAGTTCTTAGAGAATTATGTTCTACAGTCTTTGAGGGCTTGGTTGGAAAGTATTTATCACACATTCCCACAAACTCTAGGTTGGATGGGATTCTAGGTAAAGCATGCACTTCTAATGCTCTCATGTTGCTTACATGAAAATCCTAAGAAACTTATTCATAGCAGAACTCTTAAGAACAAATCAACCTTTACACTAAAACTAGACAGCTGGGCACGTGGAGAGCGGGAGAGCAACGCACCTCTTTCCCCCTTCCAGAGGTCTCAGGATGACGATTACCAACAAACCACTGGCAACAAACCACCGATGGTGATACCAATATGAATAGCTAAAAGCTTTGTATCTACTAGTCTCATAAATCTTCACAGCTATGAAAAAAGCGCCATGATGGCCTCCATTTAACAGCTGAGTAATCCATGGCTTAAAGAAACTGAGTGGTGGAGCTGGATGCAAACCCAGGCTTGCTGAACTCCAGAACCAGCTCTTGGCCACCACACCATGCCTATGCTCCCACTCCTGCAGACATTTAGCAAGTCCTTGTCATTCTGTTGTCATTTTATTTATGGACAAAGTCCTCTTACAGTACCTATATCATCATAGCGTTCCACCCAGACGACAGAAACTCTTGTCTCAGGTCCGAGAGGAGGCACGGGGCGACCCTGAGGCAGTTTCTTCAGTCTGGAACTGGGACTGAGCTGTGTAAGGAAGAAGGTGGGGGTGGGTGTGCAGAAGAAGATACGGCTTAATACAATTACCCAGTCATACATGTGTCAAGATGCCCAGTGATGTGAGTAAGTATTAGGTTATGTGAAATCACTAGGAAAAAAGTGTGAAATGCATTTGCAAAAAAGCTATTATTTGGATTCTATTTATCAGTCTTAACGTAGAACAAGGAAATGGAGGCCTAAAATTGTCAAAGGAAAAAAGTTAAGGAATACTGAACAATTGTAATTTGCATTAATAAAAAGAAAACATACAAGCAATGAGGCAGTATCTTAATGAGGGCTTAAAAGGATTTGAGTCTCTCCATTATGGCCAGAAAGTAGTACGCTTTCTCTGTTACAGCAACATCACTACTTTGCCTGGGGATCCTAATATGTAAAATTTTCCATCAAGTTATTCCTAGTTCTCAGACCGAATGTTTTCTACTGAAATCTATGCCTCATTCTTTTTTCTCGTCAACAGAAAGAGAAAAGGCTTGCTTGGGCCTTTCCTATCATGCACAGTGTGCTTGTGTTCCTGCCACCTCATCAGCTGAAAGTTTCACTGCAAGGCTAACAGGACTATGTGGCTCCCTTTAGCAAACTGGCACCCTGAGCTACACCACCACTCTGGCATGCAGCTGAGCTAAGTCTGTGCTAAAGCCCTAAATAAAGCTCATGTGTACAGAGGGGAGAGTCTCATACTTAAGGGGAATTTTAAAATTAAAACCGCCTTATTATCACAGAAATACATGTCTTTACCAGATGGTAAGTGTCCATGGCAAGTCCCCCAGTTTCTTGTTTCTACTCTGACATTCACAGAAAATGACTGTGACCAAGAGATTTTTCCCAAACTGTGACAGACACCCAGCCACACTCAGAGACTACTTTCTTAGCATCATGGCTCCTAATCAGCTTTGACTGACTTCCAGCCCCAGATTTAAAGAGCTCCTGTGATTAAGTTAGGTCTACTTGGATAATCTCCCCTTTGCTTAACTCGAAGCAACCTTAATTAAACCAACAAAATCCCTTTGCCAAATAACGTAACATAATCATGAGATGTCCTATCACATTCACAAGTTCCACCCACACACAAGGGGAGGACATTACACAAGGGCAAGGGTCACTAGGAGTCATCTTAAAATTTTCCCCAACACACCTTCTTGTCTTCCTGAAGTCTAATAGTTACAGTGGATTTCCTGCAATCCACTAATAGCTATAGTGCATTTTTAAAATAGATTCTTCCAGGGTTTTCTACGTATTAATACATGATCATGTCATCTGCAAATACACATAGCTTTACTTCTTCCTTTCCCATCTTATGCATTTTATCTTTTTCTTTTCTCATTTCTCTGTGTCGGACCTCCACTACGATGCTGCATAGAACTGGTGAGAGTAGACATCCTTGCCTTGTCCTCAGGGGGAAAGCACTCAAGAATAACATACTAATATAATGTCTAAGTATGAAGTCAGCTGTAGATTTTTAGTAGATGATCTCTATCAGGTTGAATAAGTTCCATTCATAGTTCACTGAGAATTTTTATCATGAATGAGTGTTGAATTTCTGCCAACT